TGAGCGTAACATTATTTTATTATTGGCATTTCCCTTATTTTTTTTCTTTTTTTTGGGCATTTCCCTTATTATCTATGAGATTGTCATTTCATATATTTATGGGCCATTTATTTTTACTCTCTGTTAAATACCTGTTTATGGTTTTTCTGCTGAGCTGTTGTCGAAATGACTGAATTTCTTTCTATTTTTATAGTTGAATAATAATCCATTGTATATACACCAAATTTTCTTTATCTATTCACCTGTTAGTGGACACTTAGGTTATTTCCATATCTTGATTATTGTGAATAATGCTGAAACTAACATGTGAGAACAAGTATCACTTAAAGATACTGATTTTGCTTCCTTTGCACAGGTACCCAGAAGTGGGATTACAGGCTCATACAGTAGTTCTATCTTTAAGTTTTTAAATTGAGGTATAATTGGCATAAAACAGTTTCAGATGTACAACACAATGATTCCACATATGCATATATTGTAAAATGATCACCACAATAAGTCTAGTTAACATCCATCACCATAGATACAAATAATTTTTTTATGATGAAAACTTTAACATTTACTCTCTCTCTCTTTTTAAAAGATTTTATTTATTTATTTGAGAGAGAGAGAGAGAGAGAGAGAGAGAGAGAACATGAGTGAGGGGAAGGGGCAGAGGGAGAAGGAGAAACAGACTCCCTGCTGAGCGGGGAGCCAGATGCAGGGCTGGATCACAGGACCGGGATCATCACCTGGGCTGAAGGCAGACACTTAACTGACTGAGCCACCTTGGTGGCCCTAAGATTTACTATCTTAGCAACTTTCAAATATGCAATACAATTTATTACATCACACCCCCATGATGTATAATTGGAATTTTGTGCCTTTTGACCACTGACACACATTTCACCAACTCCTCCGTCCTCACTTATGGCAACCACCAATCTATTCTCTGTATCTATGCGCTCAGGTTTTTGTTTTGTTTTTGAACTCAACATCTAGATGAGATCATATGGCATTTGTCTTTGTCTTATTTCACTGCACATAATGCCTCAGGGTTCATCCATATGGCTCAAATGGCAGGATTTCCTTCTTTTTTAAATGGGTGAATAATCCATTTTGTGTGTGTGAGTGTGCATGTGTGTGTGTGTACACATACATATACCAATCACATTTCTTTATCCATTTATCTGCTGATGGACTCTTAGGTTATTTCCATGTCTTGGCTATTGTTAACAGGGCTGCAATGAACATGGGAATATACATATCTCTTCAAGATAGTGATTTCATCTCCTGCTGATATTATCTCCAGGAGTGGGGTTGAGGGATCATATGGTAGTTCTATTTTTATATTTTTGAGGAACTTCATACTGTTTTCTATAATGACTTCATCAGTTTACATTCCTACCAACAATATGCCGGACTTCCTTTTCTCCTCATTTGTGCCAACACTTGTTATTTCTTGTCCTTTTTTTTTTTTAAGATTTTATTTATTTATTCATGAGAGACACACAGAGAGAGGCAGAGACATAGGCAGAGGGAGAAGCAGGCTCCCTGTGGGGAGCCTGATGTGGGACTTGATCCCAGGACCCTGGGATCATGACCTGAGCCAAAGGCAGACACTCAACCACTGAGCCACCCAGGTGCCCCTCTCTTGTCCTTTGTATGAAAGTCATTCTAAAAGGTGTCAAGTGATATCTCATTGTGGTTTGATTTCCATTTTGTGATGATTAGTGATGTTGAGCATCTTTTCTTGAACATGATAGCCATGTGTATGTAAAAAGCCACAGCTAATATACTAATTGGGGAAAAACAGAGCTTTTCCTTTACGGTCAGGGATATCCACTCTCACCACTTTTATTCAACATAGTACTGGAAGTTCTAGCTAGCAATCAGGACACAAAAAGAAATAAAAGGCATCCAAATCAGCAAGGAAAAAATAAAACTTTCACTATTTGCAGATGACATGATACTATATACAGAACCCAAAAGACTGCTAGAACTATGTATATGCTTTAGAAACTATCTATTCAGTTTCTCTGCTGATTTTTAAAAATTTTTTAATTTTTTTAAAAGATTTTATTTATTTACTCATGAGAGACAGATAGAGATAGAGATAGAGATAGAGAGAGAGAGAGAGAGAGAGAGGCAGAGACACAGACAGAGGGAGAAGCAGGCTCCTTGCGGGGAGTCCAATGTGGGACTCGATCTTGGGACTCCAGGATCATGCCCTGAGCCAAAGGCAGACACTCAACTGCTGAGCCACCCAGGCGTTCCTAAATCAAATGGTTTATTTTTTGCTATTAAGTTATATGTGTATTTTATATACCTTGGCTATTAATCTCTTATCAGATACATGATTTATAAGGATTGAAATAGGTAAGCTTTTCATTTAGGTGATGGTTTCTTGCTATGCAGAAGCTTTTTAGTTTGATGTAGACACATTTATTAATTTTTGCAGTTGTGGCTTTTGTTTTTGGTGTCATAATTGTTGCCAAGATGAATGTCAAGGAGCTTTCCCTCTGTTTTCTACTAGCAGTTATATGCTTTTCAGGTCTTACGTTTAAGTCATGAATAATTTTGAGTTAATTTTGTGAGTAATGTAAGATAGGGGTTCAATTTCATTCTTATGTGTGGGGGTATAGTTTTTCCAACACCATTTATTAAAGAGATTATCCTATCTCCCTGGAGTGTCCTTGGGTCCTTTGTCAAATACAAGTTGATTATATATGTGAGGGTTTATTCTGGGCTCTCAGTTCTGTTCCATTAGTCTATGTGTGTGATTTAATGTCAATACCACACAGTTTTTAAAAAGATTTGATTTATTTCAGAGCGAGAGAGATAGCAAGAGAGAGCATGAGCAGGGAAGAGAGGGAGAAGGCGGCTCCGGGCTCGGCAGGGAGCCCAATACAGGGCTTGATCACAGGGCTTAGGGGTCATGACCTGAGCTGAAGGCAGACACTTAACTGACTGAGCCACCCAGGCACCCCACCAAACAGTTTTGATTGCTATAACTTTGTAGCATAGTTTGAAGTCAAGATACTTGATGCCTCCATCAGAAGTGTACAGAAGCCATTTCAGGCTTCCAGAGGGGCCCAATCAAATCACAGATATAGGCTGACTAGAGCCCAACCCTTGGGAAACAGTTGGGAAAGTATGCAGTTAAACACTTTACAGGAAGAAGGTAGGAGCCTTGTGTTTCTGCCTCCTCCCTCTGTGCTGAGCCCAGGGGGTAACCACGAGAAGTACTTATGTAGCCCTACAAAACTGTCTCATGGTTTTCTGTGGTATCTGGGGATTTGGAAATGCCAAGCCCTATTGCTCTCAGAGCTAGAATATTTGGGAACAAGTTCCTGGAGTTTGTCATACAAGTTGGGTCCCCATGTGTGTGGTCTTATCCCTTCACTCCTCAGAGCTGAGTTGGGGATTCTCACCTGGTGGTAAGGTGCTGTCCCATGGGTGGGTGGGGGGGGTTGATGGTGTGAGCATACTTCAGCTTTTCCCATCTCTTTTGAGGCAGGTATTTTCTCAGTGCTCTGATATGTAGGAGTTACCCAACCAGTTTCTGGATTTTTCTCAAAGAGAATTAATGCATGTGTACCTCTATGGTAAGTGTGTTCCCAGGAGGAGGGGGGTCAGGAAACTCCTCTTCTGCCATATAGCTGATCTTGGTGAGAATTCATTAGGTTTAAACATTTAACAAGGCCAATATTAGGTTAAATTTATTTAATATGTAGTATTGGGCAATGTAAAGGAGTGATTTTAAAAAAGGACACATTAGAGTCCTATCAAAATGACAGTTTTGTAGGATAAAAATGACAGTTTTGTAGGACAAAAGATGATCAAACACTGGAAATCAAATACTGGTTGCATCAATCTGATATGTGTCTCTATGGTCACATTTCCTCTTCCTTTTCTGTTTTGTCTTCTACCTATTTTATAAGGAAACATATGATGTCTATTTAGGGCTCACCTAGATAACTCAATGTAAGTGCATCCTTGGCAAAGACCCTTTTTCAAATAAGTTCCAATAACATTCATCCTTTTTTCATGAGTTACTAATCACAAATTGGGGGGACTAGGAGTAGACCTATCATATTGAGGGCCTCCATTTCACTTCCTACAGATGTGCTTTGGTTGATTCCATCGAGAGGCCTAGTCTCATCTAAAACTGGGAAGGAGAGTTTTCTGTCTCTTGGCTTCAGGTTCAAGTATAACATCTAAATTTGTTGCCATCACCTTGTGACTTGAGGAGAACCAGTCTTAGGACAAAGCCACCAAATGGAGAAATGGAGTGAAGCCCTGTCCCCTGTTCTTGTACATTTCTTATCTCTGAAGTCCTAGTAATGACAAACAACTGTTTCTTGTTTGACCATATTATAGCCAGGAGTATTCTTCTTATTAGAACTGAAGTCTTCCTCACTGATGAAGCACAAAAAACTCACAGTTATTTAAAGCTGAGATGATATCATTATACCAATCTTATAGATAACAAAACTGAGTATAGTGGGTGTTAATGTTGCCTCCCAAGGATACAATTTACCAGTGACTGGTCTCCATCCTTACTAAATTGGGGTGTGACAGGTAAGTTCCCTTACTTCACTATAGGCCTGACTTTGGGTTTCAATTGACATGATCTGTCATGGGATAAGGTGGAAGCCAGTCTGCAGATATGACCCCAGTTGTGCTTCTATCCTTTACTGAGCTATCCATATTCTACAATTTTCCTTCTTCTGAGAGTCATGCATGCAAACATTATAAAACTATGACCTCTGCCTCAGGTTCTATCCCTAGGGAACTGAGAAAAAACTTGAAATAAGAACTGAAATAATTTGTCAAACATAACAAAGCTAAATAAGAATAGAAGTCAGTCTTCAAGTCTAAGTTAAAATGCATGTGGCCATTACGTTATCTAGTCACATTACAAGCATTTGGTTACAGGTGAATTATACATCTTGGTTCTCCTGTGAATCCTAAAACTCTGATTTATTCTAACAACCAGCCCAAAGTACATGGCACAATCACAGAAAGGAAGGTATCCTACTGAAAAGTTTCTTCAAGGCACCCTGCATGTCACTGTTTCTCAGACTGTAGATAAAGGGGTTCATCATTTGAGGAATCACGATGTACATCACTGAAGCCATGGCAGTCTTCCTGGAAGAGTCACTAAGTGCAGAACTAATGTATACTCCAAAAGCTGTCCCATAGAAGAAGGACACAACGGACAAGTGAGAGCCACAGGTGGAGAAAGCTTTATATTTCCTGCCCGCTGATGGCATTCTCAAAACAGAGGAGAAGATTTGGGTATAAGAGAAAATAATTCCAGAGAGAGGAACACCCCCAAATAAGCCAGCTGCAAAATATGCCAGAATATCATTGATGAGAGTATCAGAGCAGGCAAGCTTGACAATCTGACCAAGCTCACAGAAGAAGTGGGGGATGTCCACGTCCTTACAGAAGGATAACTGTAGCACCATCAGACTGTGGAGCAGGGCGTTGACAATGCTAATGAGCAGTGAGAGTACCATCAGCAAGCCATAGAGTTGGGGGTTCATGATAACGGTGTACCTCAGGGGATGGCAGATCGCCACATAGCGGTCATAGGCCATTGCTGCAAGGAGAAAATTTTCTAAACCAACAAAAGTCAAGACAAAGCAGACCTGGGTGAGGCAGCCTGTGTAACTGATGCTGTGACTCTGTGCTTGGATGTTCACCAGCATCTTTGGGATGGTGGTTGTACTTAAACAGATGTCAGTAAAGGACAGGTTGGAGAGGAAGAAGTACATGGGAGTGTGGAGGTGGGAGTCACAGATGACAGCCAGGATGATGAGCCCGTTTCCCAGGATGGTGGCCAGGTATATGGACAGGAACAGGCTGAAGAGTAGGGACTGCAGTTCTGGATCCTCTGTCAGTCCCAAGAGAAAGAATTCTGAAAATACTGTTTGGTTTCTGGGTCCCATGTTGTTGATGAATCTGATGGAAAAGATGGAGTGAAAATCAAATAAAATGAATGGTCCCTGGATGAGCCACAGCAACATCACCTGGGAATTGCTAGAAATACAAACCTGGTATCACTGCAGATATACTGCTGATAAACTCTGAGGTTGAGGACCAGCAATCTGTTTTGGCAAGCCCTCCAGGTTAATGTGATAGATGACAAAGTTTGAGAGCCAGTGATTTTAGAAAAATGAATAAAAGCTATTGAGAATCCATATGAATATTTCAATCATTTCCTCTTCTAATTTTTCCCTCTGTCATAATTTCCCACTCTTCTTGCCCTTCTCCCTCTATTGGCCCTTATTTTTATTGGGCACTATCTCTTCCTCACACATTGTACTAAGTGCTGAGTCTGAAGTGAATGAGTGGTATTTATTTTGGAAATATTTCTTGCCTTCATGCAAATGGTAAGATGAGAATGAAGTTATACATTCTCTCCTGCAGAGTCTGCTCTCCAAACTTAGACATGCTCAGAATCATCTGAAGGTTGTGTCAAATTACTGATGATAAATCATTATTACTCCATTCACCCATGAGGATTCTTAGGTGAGGTGAGATTATATCATGAGTACAGATTATGGCAAAGACTAGATCTGAATTCAGGTCATATGACTGCTGAGTTGACCATCCTTTTTTTTTTTTAAAGTTTTTTATTGGAATTCCAGTTAGTTAACATACAGTGCAATTATTAATTTCAGGCAGCAATACAGTGATTCAACATGTCCACCAAAGGTGATCACACCAGGTGATCAACACAGGTGCCTTCCTTGATCCCCATCATCTAAGCTATTTCCCCATCCCTTTTCCTCTAACCATCCATTTGTTCTCTGGATTAAGAGTCTGTTTCTTGGTTTGCCCTCTCTTTCTCTTTTTCCCCTTGCTCATCTGTTTTGTTTCTTAAATTCCACATATGAAATGAGTTGACTGTCTTGACCAACCATTGTTAACACTTCTGGATGACACAGCATTAGCATTCCTAAATCATCTCTCATGTAAGTTCCTTTCAAAGTTTTAATATTTCCATCTTGAGAGATGCCTTCAATCTTTTCCCTCACCTACAAGGCATGTCCATTTCTACCCATGACATAGAGTTGTAGTGTGAAAAAGTGTAGAAAGTCATGGCATCCATTCAAGTATATGCCCTTACCTGAGCATAGATTTAAAAATGTTGTTTATCAGCAATGTCCACAATAGCTAAACTGTGGAAGGAGCCTCAGTGTCCCTCAAAAGATGAATAGATAAAGAAGATGTGGTCTATGTATACAATGGAATGTTACTCAGCCATTAGAAATGACAAATACCCACTATTTTCTTCTATGTGGATGGAACTGGAGGGTATTATGCTGAGTAAAGCAAGTCAATCGGAAAAGGGCAAACATTATATGGTCTCATTCATTTGGGGAGTATAAAAATTAGTTAAAGGGAATAAAGGGGAAGGAGAGAAAATGAGTGAAAATATCAATGAGGGTGACAAAACATGAGAGACACCTAACTGGGAAATGAACAAGGGGTAGTGGAAAGGGAAGTGGGTGGAGGGTTGGGGTGACTGGGAGATGGGCACTGAGGGGGGCACTTGGCAGATGAGCAGTGGGTGTTATGCTGTATGTTGGCAAACTGAACTCCAATAAATAAAAAAATAAAAAATAGAAAAAATAGAAAAAACAAACAAATATAAGTCTTTATTTAAAAAAATTAAAATGTTGCTTATAAACTTGAAAATCATAAGACTTCTCCATGGAATTGCTACTCATCTGCATTAGTGATGCATTGTAAGGCAAACTAGGCAGGTATGCCAATGACATTCTCTGTTCTAAGGGGACTTTTCTGAGGGCACTTGATGGGATGAGCACTGGGTGTTTTACTATATGTTGGCAAGATGAGTTTAAATTTAAAATTTTTTTAAAAATAAGGGGGCTTTTCCACCCAAAGTGGTAGGTGGCAGATCATTAAAAAAAATAGCTAATGAAAAAGAAAGAATTAAATTCATAGACTCCTCAGGGAATAGAGGAAAATTTAAACAATTATTGGTCCTTGAAGACAAAGACTTTCAAGGCAGTGCAGATTTATATGGTACTTATAAGATAATCAAGTGCCCTAATAGAAGTGCTTCTGTAAAGCAGTGGTGCTCTCTCACCTAGGGCCGATAGAAGTGGCCATGACAGCCTTTATCATTTGGTGTATTACTTAGATTCAGAACTCTGAATTTAATCCAAACTAGCACTTGCTTTGTGAATGGGGAAAGCCTTTCAACTGTGTGGAGATCTTGGTGTCCTCAATGTAGAGTGGAAACTGTCATCAAATCTACGGGGATGTTGCAGTAGCAGCCAGCACAGCACTAAGTATATAGGACCCTCCTAATAACATTTGCTATTGTGTGTGTAGTTTTAGGTCTGTGAATGGTGGCACCTGGAATGTTTCATTTCTCAGAAGAAAACAGCAGGGTGTGCAACAGAGGAAAGACAGTAAAGAGAGGAAGTACATCCCTAGCATGATAACTGCAAATTTCAGAGAAGTGTTTATGAGCTGAAACTCTAGCTGGGATTCTTTATTGTGTAGAAAAGGAATGAAATGCACAGGAATGATACCAATATTCATTTGACATGGACAGATGATGAATTATATAGCAATTAAAATGAATTAAAGAAAAAATATGATTAAGAACACATATTCTTGAAACTGTAAGGTATAAAAATCCTATATACACCTATTAAATTGAACTTATTAATTTTATTTTTAAAAAGATTTTATTTATTTATTCATGAGAGACACACAGAGAGAGGCAGAGACACCGGCAGAGGGAGAAGCAGGCTCCATGCAGGGAGCCCTATGTGGGACTTGATTCCGGGACTCCGGGATCAGGCCCTGAACCAAAGGCAGACGCTCAACTGCTTGAGCCACCCAGGCATCCCTATTAATTTTATTATTAAATTTTCATTATGTTTATTTCATATACTAGATATGTCTGATTCATATCTAGTCTGATTCATATCTAGCATATAAAATTCCTTCTCCACAATTGCCTTTTCTTTTTTCTGCTCTCATCAAGTAATCACAAAAAACTTTAGCAAATATTAAAGTATAAATCTTTACGGTGACATTATCTGATCATAAATTAATAGAAGTATAAGTAAATAATAAAAAAGATTATTTTAAAAAAGAAAAAATGAATCAGATTTATAAGTTGATAAAAAAGAAAAACCTATAAACATTCGTATGACAAAAAGTCTATAGCATGAGAAAACTCTAAATATATATTGAAATCTCTCAGGTAGTAATCCCTAATAAAAATAAACCCAAGCAAAGAATAACACAGAGACAACAGTGAAGTGCTGGGTTTCCCACCTGTTGATGTGATCAAATTTAGATCCTTCACTGTCCTCATTCTGAGTGTTTTTATTGCAATAGATAGTGGAGGTATAGGTGAAGTCCCCACATCATAAGTATGCACAATCCTGATTCTTTTTATTCCCCAGGAGAACCAGTACACTAACTTTATGTACATTATTCCCCTGAAATTTTTGCTATGATTAGTAATATCATTTTATAAAAACTTACATTCTTTTGCATTTTAAAAGCCTTATATAAATAGAACCATACAGTACATGCCATTTAAAATGGGTATGCTTCTGCAGTTTATTTTTTGATTTTTTTCATATATTCAATCCCATTCACTGATTTTAATTACTAGAGAGTCTTACACGATATTGTTACATCTTGGTTTATTTCCCCATTCCATAACTGATGGATATTATGGTTGAGGCCTTTGATCCTATGTATGTTTATGAAGACATGTATAATATAAAACTATGAATGGGGGATACCATCACATTCAAGACTGTGTTGTCTCTCTGGGAAGGGGAGAACAGGAGGGGAAGAAAAAGAGGTGCATATATATTTACTTTTTTTTTTAACTTTATAGAAAAGACCTGAAGCCAATATAGCAGAAAATCAACATTTGGTCATCTGGAATGAGTGGAAGGGTGTTCATATGTTTTTTATTATACGTCTCTGCTATTGTGATATAAAATTCTTGGTAATTTTATGATGATGAATACATGTACTCAGAGGGTAGCCAGCGATATCTGCCTGTACCTTGACTCTTTTCCTTGTGTCCTCAAGGGAACTACAGGAATACATACACTCTTCTATGCAACAGTATGTGAAGAACCAGGAATGCAAGTAAAAGGAAAAGTTGACCCAAATTCTTCCCCATGACCATCACAAGAATTCAAGTAAATGTGGGAAAGTGTATAATGTTCATCTTGTTTTAAAAGGGGCTGATTTTTGGGATACCTGGGTGACTCACTCGGTTAAGAGTCTACTTTTGGCTCAGGTCATGATCCCAGGGTCCTGGCCTCCTTGGTCAGCGGGGAGTCAGCTTCTCCTTCTCCCTCTGCCCCTCCCCACTGCTCATGCACATGCTCTCTCTTTCTCTCTCAAATAAATAAATAAAATCTTTAAAAAAATTTCTCATCACAAGAAATGAATGTGAGGTGACAGATGGTAACTAAACTTAAAAAGGGGGGGGCTGTTTTTAATCAGAAAGAAAATATTTTCTGTCATATTTTAGAGAGATTAGGGGACCAACTGATTGAGACCAGGGTCAGTATCAGTACAAATACACATAGGAACTTGTCAACAGGAAGACAGGCTAGAGTGCATGGGACACTTGGTTCTCATCATTCCATGTATGCACACTCCTCATTGCTTGCCCTGGATGAATCTGTAATAAAATAACCTGCTCCTCGTACAGAAGCATTACCTAAAGGACTTTCAGTTACCTGGCTGGCATCAGTGTGGAATGATGTATCACATGTTACCTAGATATAAAGATGGAAGATCTGTCTTCAGGAAGGGCAGAGAGACAAAGTGAGGCAATGGGCTCCTGGTCAAGAAAGATCATTCCTGTTTGGAGTCTCAGGTGTGCTTCTTCTTGACTAGGTAAGGGCTATGGAAGTGTTCT